GTGAATGAGCACTGTTAAGGTGGGGCACGGTTTGAAATCGGTGGGCAGCCGGGGGGCACCGGGATGGTTTGCTCAGTTAGGATGTGGGGGTCACGCCATGTGGGGGGGCAGGGCAGGGAGAGTCCCTTGGGCCCTGGATTCAGTGGCTACTGATGGTGATGCTTACTTTTCCAGTTTTTGAGAAGGGGAGAGATTCCTCTAAGACTGTGGGAGAGGAAACTGAGGCACCCAGATGAAGCTCTTTCTCCGGGAATGATGAGGGCTGGAGGTGTGGATGGGCTCCAAGAGAACCAGGATAGTTCCTGGGGGCTGATCCCCACCGTGAGGTCAGGGGAGGCCCTGTGCACACTGTCGTGCACTGTGTTTATTTCCTCTGGCCTGCCCCTCCTCGCCCAGGCAAGCAGCCAGGAATGTGGGAAGTGAAAGACAGGGACACTTATGGATTGAACTGTCTCCCCAAAAACTCATATGTTGAAGCCCTGACCCATGGGATCTCAGAACATGACCTTATTTGGAGATACTGGTGTTTTTTGTTTTTTTTTTTTTACACTTTTTATTTACTTAAGTCATCTCTATACCCCATGTGGGGCTTGAACTCACCACCCTGAGATCAAGAGTCGCATGCTCCTCTGAATGAGCCGGTCAGGCACCCCTGGAGACAGGTTCTTAACCAAGTGAAATGAGGTCATTGGGGTGGGCCCTAATCCAATACGACCGGTGTCCTTATATGGGAGACATTTGGGCACAGATGTGCACGTGGGGTGAACACCATGTAAAGACCAGAGTCGTGCGGCCACAGGCCAGGCCAGGAGAGACTCCCGGCGCATAGCCTTCCTCAGCACCTCCTGAGATTGGGGCCCTTCCAACACCTTCCTCTAGGACTCTGGGCCTCAGAACTAGAAGACAATACACTTCTGTTATTTGAGCCACGCGGTCTGTGGTCCCTTGTTATGACAGCCCCCCCAAGGCTGATGCAGACGCCAGAGAAAATACCGTGGGTTACTTACCAGTGGGAAGTAAGTAGTCGCTGCCTTCTCACTCCTCCTGGAAGTAGACACAGAAAGAGGAAGTGATGTAACGGAGAGGAAGGTGGAGGTGAGCTACCCATCAGAATTGCTTCTGATACTAAGATGGAAACTTCCTTCCCCTAAAATAGAAGCGGACAGACTGGCTTTTCACGGGCAAATCCGATCAAGAACATGTGAATGTTGACAAAAGCCTCTGAGATGATTTCTAGCTGGAACCACTGGGGCCTCTCGTGGAAAGCAGAATTTGAATCATTGTTGATCTGGTGCTACAGTGAGCGCTTGTAAATATGTGTTCATTGCATCACTAAGTGCAAGTCTGTGCTCACGTGACCACGCAGACAAACATGGCGCCCATCTTGCCGGAGGCTCTTAGCCAAACAGTTTTAGCGCAAGCAGGCTCTCGAAGGATTTCAGAGCTGCTACAGCAAAGAGTCAGAAAACATACCCTGTGGCTGGGAGGCAGAAGAGGTTTTGCGTCTTTTTGACATATTGTTTTAATCTGTTTAAGCCCAAGTGGCATCTGCAGATCTAAGTCGGGGAGAAAATGCCAATTTGTTCACTTCTGCACCCAAGGTCAGCAGAACAGAGCATACTTGAAAGGACCGAGCCCGACCGGGCTGTGGCCGGCTCCTCCCACGTGCCTCCAGCCGAACACATGCCCAGCACACACACAAAACACTACGGATACTTACGAAAGAGAGCACTTTACAACTAGAAAATGACCGTTGCTTCTTTTGCATTCTTTTAACTATAAATCTATTGAAACCCTCCACTAATAGGGGGCTTGTCAGAAGTGTGGCTGGGGAGGCACCGGAACAGTAAGATAACCTGAAATATTAACACAAGCCAGCCATCTGCACATCCCAAGCCAGACCCCTCCAGAACACGATGCCCAGTGGCAAGAAGGCATCACATCTCAGCCATTCTCCTTAGCGATAGACCTGCTGTTGAAAACACGATCTCGTTTTAATGAGACGCGCGTTTATTTTTGTCATTTGCCCGTCACAGAGCTCCACTGTTGAGCCCTTTAGGAAACTTGAGACACTTAATGTATATGACCACCCCGCAGGCATCCAGTCCAAAATCCCCAGCTGGCCCCCCTAGGCTGTCCCGGCTCAGTGCCTCGGTTGAGTGTTGTGTTTATAGACCTAACGCTGCACACTTCTGAAGGCAAATAGGAAAATCAAGAGAAATTCAACGTGTGCAAACTGAGCTAAGACAGTGGCCGTGAATGTGGGCATTTCTGAGGCCCCAAAATGGTATCCTTGGTGTTAAGAGAGCCTACTCACTTTATTTGTGCAAGGAAAACAGCCTTTCATCATAGAACAGAAGGTCAGGGTTTGGGTGGTGGACAGATGGCCACGCCACCCCACAAAGTCTGTCCGTGGGAGCCCCGGATGCCCTTCTGTCCCTGGTCTTCCAAATGTTTTCAAACAGATGAAATCTGATTACAATAAACAATAAACGCATTTTGGGGGGGAAAAATCTAAGCATCCACGAAAGGAGGACAGGACGGCTCCATCCGAGAGAGCCACCCCATGAGCTGTCACCTGCAAAGTCTGGGAGTAGAAATCCTTTCCCCTTGACTGTCTCTCCAAATTCAAGTTCAAAGCCAGCCAGAGGGGAAGCCAGTTACAGGGTACTTTGATTTTTCATTCTGTACCTGTGTAGAATTTTTTATTTTTTATTCTTTATTACTTATGTTGGTATTATTTTTATAATTACAAATCATTACTAAAGAAAGTACCGTGGTCTGTTCAGAGGGCTCTGGTCACACCCACACTCAGGTGGGTATGTGTGTGTGTATACATACACTCATTCTGATCAAAAGGCACCCTGCGCCTCTTTGCTCTTGTGGAACCTTCTAGAACTCCTCTGCTAAATACCTCTGTAGGATCTGTGTGGGGAAAGCAGGCCACAGGCCGCCTGCTAGTAAAATGATCATTTTCTGATCTGTAGCCAGGGAATCACTTCGGAAGGACGGCTAGAGATGGGTTTTCTGAAGGGACAGGTGACTGGCTGAAGTGTTTTCTCCTTCTAATGCCTTTTCAAAACAAAACTCCCGTGTATGTTCTCTTTTTTGTCAAAAGCCCGCGCCCGTGCACGGAAGAAGAAGCCAGAAATCTTCTGTTGAGGCCCACGGGCCTCAAGAGAGGCGGGGGGAGCCACCAAGGCACTCCAGGGCCTGGAGCCGGTGCCGCCCAGGGGTTTCTTCCTCGTGGCCAAACAGCTACTTCACAAATCCTTGCAGAGAGGCCGCTGGTGCTCCTACAGGGTGCTGTTGTTTGAATTCTAGGAGGTCCGGCCCCTCGGCATTTCAGGACCCTTCTATCCGTGGTGTGACACTCTCTCCAAGTGTGGTCCCTGGCTGGATGGGGAGCCCCTGGGCGTGCCAGAGATGCAGAATCTCGCCCCCGGCCCCACATTTACTGAACGAGAACCTGCATTTTCACAAGAGCCCCGGGTGATCCGTGTGAACTTGCAATTTGAGAAGCATCGATGACGCTGCTCAGAGGTGACCTAACGGTACGGTCAGGGAGGAGTTGCAATCTCCCATCTAAGAAGGCTGCACGCTGTGGGCATCCAACTCCTGTAGATGGCGTTCTGGCAAAAGCAGAACGATGGGGACGGTGAGAGACCAGTGGCTACCAGGAGTCGGGGGCGGGGGAAGGAAGGATGGATCCGTGGGGTGCTGGGGATCGGTAGGGCAGAGGAACCACGCTGTAGAGTACCGTGATGGTGGATATGTGTCATTACATGTGTGTCAAAACCCAGAGAATGTACGAAGAGTGAACCCTAATGTACGCTGTGGACTTTAATGACTCATGATGTATAACATTTGCTCCTCAAGTGCGACGAATGTCCACACTGACGCATGATGATAGTAACAGGGGTCAACGATGGAGTAGGGGGTGAGGGAGTGTCTGGGAACCCTCCATACTTGCCGCTCATTTGTCCGGAAGCCCAAAGCTGCTCTAAAAAATAGTCTCTCAGTTTAACAACCACCACGACAAACCAGTGGGGCGGCAGACATTTTCTCTCTCAGTTTGGGGTGCATAAAACCATCCCTGAGCGGTCTTTATGTCATTTCTTCCTGCCTGATGTGGGTCGCTGCCGTTCTGCCCGACAGCTGGGCAGGACCCCAACTGGCAGGAAAGGAGACTGTGGGATGCGGGGAGGGGCCAGGCCCCCCGGGGAGCTGGGGGTCCCAGCAGGCTCCACCCCACCTTCTGGTGTGATCCGACGTGGGTCAGCCCCGGGTTTATAGGGCAGGGTCCCTATCGAACCGAGACCGTGACGGAAGAATGCAGAGAGAACACGGATGCAGATACTTCGTGCTCCGGTACACTGATTAGGAAATGGCCAAATTGCTAATCCTGGGGGAATGTGAAATATGGCACCAATTCGAAAGAACAAGGGTCTGTGCTAATCTCTGCATCTCCCACTTTCTGGGTAAGTGTGAATTTCATTACACAGAGAATTATGGCCGGATGTGCGACTAATGAGGGAATCGGCCCTTCTGTTGGAAGTCACCTCTGGCAACAACAGGACGTTCCACTCTATTGTGACAACTCGACCCCATGAAGGAATTCACGTTTTCTGTTGATACAGCAGCTGGAGGCGTCTAGAAATCCCAAGGTTAGGAATGGGGGGGGGAGGGACTGTGGACAGGGCACCAAGTCCCTGACAACACAACCGTGTGCACCCACACAAAGAGACAAAGAACGTGAAGCCGGTGGATACAAAGCTGGGCTGTCTTTGAGAGTGACCGTTGATTTCGCCTCTCCACACGTCTGGTCGCAAATCCTGCTCCGAAATCATCTCAGGGAAGACAGCAGGTGATGAGTTTGGGAGCAGCGTGGGGCTCGGACGTGGGACCGCCACCGGCGCTCTGTAGGCTAGGTGCTCTCTCTCGAGCGTTTTCAGACGTGTGCCCACAAGACTATGTGCCGCGAGCTGGTGGCCGTTCGTTCACAGGGGGTGCGAGGTTTTCTTTCCCGCTGGGCTCCCGGAAGCCATCTTCTTTACGGTTGTGGAGTCTGGCTGAATTCTGCTTTTCGTGACGGCTGGCTTCTTCTGTTTCTGGCTGTTGTTTTGAAGTGATGTCAGGCCCAGCATTTTACAATACTTGTTACACTGGTGTAGGGCTTTAAACTGATCGATGAAGGTCATGGAACAGTTGCCTTTAAATCCTTTGTACCTGTGGGTTTGGGTAAAAGGACACATACTTTTTAAAACACGGGACACTTTCACCAGCCTTCAAAGGGGAAATTAATGGGAGGTGGAAAACACATTGATTCCGGCCCCGGGCAAAGATGGCCGAATGTTCCGCCACAACTATTGACGGGAGAAACAAAGCCTGTGGGATTAAGTAAAGGCCGAGGCCCACAGGCATGCACATTCCAGACCAAAGGCCTGTGACTGTACAAGTGTTCTAGATGCTTACGGTTCCAACGAAACAGCATACTAGTGCCCTTTTTTTTTTAGTCATAGTAACTAGTGCTGGGCCATCTTGATAAAAACTAGATCTCTTGGGGCGCCTGGGTGGCGCAGTCGGTTAAGCGTCCGACTTCAGCCAGGTCACGATCTCGCGGTCCGTGAGTTCGAGCCCCGCGTCAGGCTCTGGGCTGATGGCTCAGAGCCTGGAGCCTGTTTCCGATTCTGTGTCTCCCTCTCTCTCTGCCCCTCCCCC